ATAAACAATGTTAGTTACATATTAGGTACTTAATATATTAATATTATGAAATTTTTAATAATTTTGCATCTGTAATATTAGTAAAGTGTTATGCTGTGGAGTTTTCTCCCACTAAGTTTCATTTATCTTTATGGTTACTATCTGCAGTTAGAATGTCTAAAGACAAACTTTCTTCTCATGACCATGCAAAGTGCTTTAAGTCAGTACAGCTAAGGTTAATCATACTAAATAAAATGACACCAGGAAGGAATTTGTCTGAAGTAAGCCAATAATTCCTTATTGTTTGGCAAGTCTGAATTTATTTTCAGTAACTGGTGGTTTCTATAAGAAAACAGTGATAATTATATTTGTCTCCCAAGTATTTTCTCAGGAAACACAAACAGCCTTTCTTGGTTTGTTTTAAGAACAAACACATTACCATTTTAAGTATTTTCTTATTGATTCTGGAGATGAAACAGGTTAGTAATGGAATGAAAATTGATAAAGAAAGGGTAAATTTTTAGGGTATTTTGCAAAAGAGAAAGTAAAGGCAGAGTTTGCACAAACTTTACAGATTTTGTAGAGATGTTAATCAGAGTGTGCATATCCAAATAGAAAAAATAGAGCCCTGTGTTTCTCCAGCACTTTGTTTCACCAACTAAAAATTTATATGTTATTACAATGAGAAAGAATGATGAGCTCCTAGGGGTTATTGAATATTCTTATGCATCCAGCCACAAAATGAAGGTTAGGAAATTGATCAATAGCTTTTATATTCTTATATATTCTTTATTCTGTATATTATTTTATATTCTTATATTTTAGATAGGTGGTCCAATATAAAATAATTGACAGTAAATACAAATACAGAGATACCACAAAATCAGTATCAGTAGAGGGAGAGAGAAAATAGCCTCAAGTTCCTCCAGGGGAGGTTTAGATTGAATATTAGGGAAAATTTCTTGCCTGAAAGGTTTGTCAGACAATGGAACTGGCTACTCAGGGAAGTGGTGGAGTCAACATTCCTGGAACAGTTCAAAAGGTACATGGATGTGGCACTTGGGGATATGGTTTAGTGAGGAAACACAGTTGTGCTAGATTAATGATAGAAATTGATGATATTAAAGGACTTTTTCAGCCTTAATGATTCTAAGGTTCTAGGTCTGAAAATTCTCAAGTTGTGCTGAGCATAACACAGCCATTGAGAGACTGGCATTCCACAGGTCCAAAAGCAATTGGAAATGATGAATCCAAACATCTCGCTCAAGTCTGGAACAACACGACCCAATCCTCAACTACTTTAAATTGAAGTATCTCCCCTAACTTTAGTGAACTATTTAGATCCTATCACAAGAACATTAACAGCAATAAAATGTGATTCTTCAAGTAAATATACTTTAACATCCTTCCAGGAGCATTCATATATATGAAATTTAAGGAAAGAATTGTCTTTACTGAGAGATGAAGAATGTTGAAGAACCTGTCTGTTTATTGTCTACTCATACTCAATATTTAATGGCACCATCCTTAGTATTTACCATATGCAAGCATGTATTCTTCTTTATCAGTGTTTGTCAATTCTATGGAAATAAAAATTATGACCTGCACCCATAAGACAATTTTTAATCCATCTTGTAACAAGTACTTTTAACCACTGTACTTTTGTACAGTACTTGAAAACAGAGGGCAGTTAATGTATCTTCAAACTTCTGTTTGAAATTTGTACTTTTTAAAAGAAAAACTGTCTTCACGGGGGCTTGATTTAAAAACTAATAATTGCTTGAAAGATATCCCCAAAAGAGAAGATGCAGTCTTCACAACAGGAAATGTAAAATATAGTTAAGCAATACATAGCTTTCTGTGTTTCTTGCCAAGTTCTGACAGATATACTGATCAATTGCTGAGAGGTAGAAGCAATGCCAAAATCTGGATAGCATATCCCAGAGAGACTAGAACTACTTATTCTTTGATGGGCTCTTGAAACTGCGCTTTATCTTCAGTTTATATCATTGTGTGACACTCTCAACCAAATTGCTTTACAATGTCTGGCTGAACTTCAGTATTAGTTGTCTAGAAATATGAAGTTGTAGATTGTGATAGGTTTTATTTCCATGGGGCCTGCAGTAATAGTAATTTTACTGGTTTTGTGATCAATTTGCCAACATAAGAAAAGATGTGTACATAACTAACATGTCCACTAACAGGTACACTTGAGTCCTAGTTTGAGGAAAGTTTGAACATTTAACTTCTTTTATCTTCAGTGTTTCTAAAATGTTTTACTCTACTTAAACAGAGTAGCCTGAAAGGATTTAATATGAATATTAGTGAAGAAAAGGTTTTTAAATATTGACACAGACATTTCTACCAATATTTTAAACTTGAAAACAAGTGACATTTGTTTGGAGCAATGGCTAACAATCCATTTTAGGGAAAATTTAATCAACCCTGACAGACACACTTCAAATAGCCTACTATGTTATAAACAAAATCCTTCTTTTGATCATTTGAACCAGAATGTTAATGATCAAAAATCTCAAAACGGGAAATAGAACAAACAGTTCTAAAAATAGGCAATTTGCCTGAGTGTAATCATCTACTCATTTGGGAAGTCACTGCATTCTTTTAATCCATCATTTAACATACTATTTTGGTTTTTGGGCCTGCCTCAGCAGCAACCTCATTTTGAGAGTTTATCTTCTGTGAAAAAGCTATAATCTTAAAAAAAAACCCAAAAAACAAAAGGGCTTTAACTTTCTTTTTACCTTTTAATGGCTTAATGATAATCTCTTCATTAATACATCACTGAGAACAAGAATGTCTATAATCAACACAAAACTAAGGGCTTCTTTAAAAAATTATTTTAATATTTCTGTCTAAATTATCGAGTTACGTACTTGAAAATTAGAATTTAATATTCCAAATTGCAGAAATGTAATTAGCAAATTCCAAATGAATTTTTTATTTAGAAGGGGTGCTTACTCTATTTGGTGCTGTTTTTAGTAAAAAACCCAACATTATTTCTCATGGTGATACACACAGATATGTTTCCTTCTCCTAGTGATTTGGATGACGATTTTTTCAAGCAGTTCCAGTTGTATGCTATTCATAAAGTCTTGGCAGTGAAGAATTGTGATATAGACATAGTTTTAATATATTCAAATTAATTTCATTTTTCTGAAACGGTCACTTGTAAATTATTTCAACTTGGAAATTGTAAAGGTTCTTTTTCAGACTTCCTCATGCAGCACATTTATACTGCAGTTCAATGCTCCAGGATCTATCAAGGATATAGGAACCATGGTCTGTCCCTGAACAGGGCTAGTACATGAAATCCATGTTTCCCCCATGCCTGATCCCCAGCCATTCTATTATACCAGTCTCTGGTATGATGGATGCTTCTCTTTCCCTCCACTTGCTCCCTCTTGTGTTTTATAATGATTTTATGAAATCCAAAACATCCTCATAAAATGTCTTGGCAAGAATAAAATCATATACCTGATACCTATGAAATGTGAAAGTAAGGAAATCATGAAATCAGATAATTCCACTGTGAAACAAAAGCAAACATTGCAAGTTTGAAAATGGTTTTTAAAATAGAGCTGTTAATCTCTGTCTTGCAGTACTTTTGGCAGTTCCAGGTGTATTTAAACAAAATAGGGTTGGGTTTTTTCCTATTCTTCAGTTTTTAGGGGAAATAGATCAGGTTTAAATATGCTCTTTAAGAAAAAAGGAAGACATTAGTGAAAGCTTTTGTGTTTTTCTGTAAGGAATATGGCAACTTCTATTTCTTAAGACAAATAAGAGTACAACCTCATGTGTTCTTTTTTATTTTTTTCTTATTTAACACATTAGTTTTTCAACAGGATTGCTTTTTAAGGATGAAAACATATTAGGTCTGTCCACAGATACTGTTTCACAGAAGTTACTTGAATTTTGCATTCAGTAAACCATAGCTATATTATGTTAATAATTTCCTATAAACCCACTGTGAGATTTGGATAAATTCTCATTGCTTTATGTAGGGATTTGACTGAGCGAGAACTAAATTATGGAAGAGCCTGCCAGCATGTGTAGTTCGAGGTTTAGAAAAGACCATCAGATCTTCAGACAAATAAAGAGTGTCTGAAAATATCTACATCTGCATTATATTAATGTCTGTGTACTGCTACAACAGAAATTGTTGGACTACTTTGCATTTTTCTTAGTTTTTAAATTGTTTTGGTAGTTCACTTTATATAGGATCATGGAAATAACATATTAGTTTCTTTTTCTACAATATGTCATGGAGTGTATTCAGCTTACACTAGTATGACAAAAATGTTTTATGTTGTGAATAAATAATATTATATATGTCTGCTTTTTTCTAAATTGATCTTACTTAGAAATAAAATATAATAATAATAGAATATTATAATTCTTCAATTAACATTACCTAAATGAAAGTTGGAGCTGTTTGAATATCTGATTTATATAGCGTAGCTTTGAGATATATGGTTTTCTGACTTACAGATGTGTTAAGAAAAAGACCACCTTTTGTCTTTGACTTAAGCTTAGAAATAGCAAGGAGATAAATTCTATCATTTTAGTATAGTCATTCTGACCACAGTGGAAGTGGTATTAACTGGTCTTATTAGTGAATTTCCTGGTTTCTCATTAGTACTCCATTCCTCTACTAATTTTTTCCCTTCCGTTTATTGTTCAAGATCAAATAGAATTACCAAGATTTCAGACTTAAATGTTCTGATTTCACATGTTCTTTCTATTCTACCATTGCAAAGTTTTATTAAAGCAGGTTTTGAACAAGTATTCAAACTCTGGTTATTCCCCTCCTTTCTGCAGATGTGATAGTAAAGAAAGATATTCAGGAGACAGTCTGCCCTCAGTTTTCTTAGATAGGAAATGCACAGACAATGTCTATGAAGGTCTTTTTTTCAGCTATTCATCAAGCACTAGAATATTTGAAATAAGTTTTCTTTTTGAAACTGTTTCACATAACAGATCATGTTCTAATAATCTCTTACCTTTTAAATATGTCCCCACTTATAAATTTTTCAATTTTATTCCTTGTGACTGGTTTCTGCAATAAAAGAGAGAACACCTTATTTAATTAAAACCAAAGGTTTATGATGGAATATTAAGTGAAGTTTAGCTAAAGAAAAATAATTCTTAAAAAAATAATTAAAATTCTGTCTTGAAATATTTGTTTACTTTTTTGGAACAGTGTGTTACAAATTTTCATCACTTTTTTTTTTTGCATTATAAAGTCAAACAGTTTTAATAAATTTTAACTGCAAGGAAACTAAAGGCTTTTTGTTTTATTTTTATTCCCATAAACATAAATTTTAAAATTGTGCAATTTGTGCAATTGCATAATTGCAAATAAAATGTGCCCCTTCACAGCTTGTAACTAATTCAGTAAATTCCAAACTGAAATCTTGCAGGGGAAATAGTATAAATCACACTTCACAGTGGAGTAAAAGTTATGGATTCAGAACTGAGAGTAGCCAAACGTAGTTAAAAATAATCCTGAAAAGTTATTTACCTCTGGGGCTGTGCTTCTGGCTGTTCTGAGTTTACCAGCACATGTGCTGTTTCCTTTTATGGGCTTCAAAGACCTCCGCCTTTGAAGATGCAGAGGTTAGGCTGGGAAGTCATTCCACTTAAGGCTGTCTACCTCCACTATCCATGGACATGAAAGCTACTGGGAAAAATTTCAAACCCACTTCCATTTGAGCCTGCATAACTTTGCAACTAACTTTTAAAGCTAATACTGTAATTTTAAGGCTGAAAACTGCATATATAAAATTACATGTGTGACAACGAAGACCACATTCAGCAAATTTAGCAGATTTTAGCACAAAGTTCCACATGCTCAGGAACTAAAGCTTGACAAATTAGCTCCAGATATGGCCACATTAGTGGGAGCTGGAGACAGCCTTAAAGGGCTGGCTTTGCTTTGACTTAAGAAATGTCCTTGAAAAGATTTAATTGAGCTAATGAAGGCATTATATAAACAGTTAAAAGCAGTTGTTGGAGGCTGGTAGAAACTCATGTATCAGCAGTTAGTAATTAAGAAGATCTTCTATCTCCTTTCAGAATAAATATCCTGTCCTAGTTGTGGCAGGCCTGCTGAATGCAGATTTTCTGGTCAGTAAATGTCCAGACATTGTTTTCTGTATGAAAACATCTGCAATGTGTTACCTCTGTAGCTCCCTCTCAAAGCCAGACAAAGGCCAAAGTTTCCAATGAATAACCTGATCAATAACCATAAAATCATTTATTCAGACCAATAATTAATAAAGAGAGTTTACACCAGCCAAAGGGGTCATCAGACAGCAAGTGATGTATGACTGACCCACCTGGTAAGATGAATAAACTTAGCAACAGCACTACTTTCTGTCTTAAGTGTAAAAAAATTTTAAAATTCTGCATGTTGATTACTATTATGAGTCACACTGACTTAAATAAAATAAATACTAAGCTATTTCACCTAAATATGAAACCAGCGGCCAAAGATGGGGGTTTGCATGTGTTTATTAGTAGAATTTGTTATGTGAATAGCTAATATTTATTACTAATAAATACACTAATTAAAGCCATATTAGTAATTTCCATTAGCTTACCCTCAAATTTCCATGGAGCTGTCCGTCTGGTTTTAATCAAAACCAAATGGTAATCCAAGTTCTCAGGCTGGAACAGCTAAGAGGAAGTCGTTCAGAGAAGGCAGAAGAAAGCAGAAAAGATAAACAGACGATATTCACTAAATTTGTATAGAGCAAAGGATGTAGATGCTGTGGGTTACACTGAAGACATGATTCAGGCACCCTGTCAAACTGGAACGAAGTAGTTACAAGTGTTTTATGTCAGCAAAATACAAATATGATCAAGATGGAGTCTGTCCTTTTGCTTTTGCAGAGCTGGATTTGTGTGACTCTGGAGGATTCTCAAAAGAGGTAAAGCAACATATTCCACTGCCTGCAACACGACTGTTTAAACTGTAGCATTCATTTTTTAAGATCCAGCTTATTCTCTTGAGTAAGATACACAGTTTTAGCATATGTCTTTAAATGGAATCTGCCTGACTATATTTGACAGAATAGTACTAGACCTTTTGTCACAGTGATATGTTAAGTTTAGACCATGTTTCTCACTACCTGATGTCAAAGGCCAGGTTTCAGAAATGTCCTTGTGTTGTTCTGGATAGCTGTTACCTTTGCATGAGCATTAGAGAAGCATAAAGTATTTTTTTAAAAGGAAAAAAATCCAGGAGGGAGAGGTTTAAGTACATTTTTACATTATGTAGCTGGAGCAGAGATTTTTTTTTTCTTTGGCAGGAATAGCCCTGCAGTGTATAAAGCTGACTGCCTTGAAACACTCGGTCTTGACGTTTTCTTTTCCCTCCATTTCTGCGCTCTCTCCCTGGCGCAGGCAGGCAGCCTCGCTGTCTCTCTCCCTCTCTCTCTCAAAGGCAGGAAATACTTTTCAGGCAATCTGGGCCTGGTTGTTGAGGCCCCCTTTCACAAAACATCAGTCTGAATTTAGTAGACAGAAGTCACTGGGAAAAGCTTGACAGGCTCGTGCTTAGCTAAGGCTCCCTCCAGCTGCAGAGGGTGTTTTTGTTAGAATCACACATTGAGCAAAACTGCTTAGAATAGAGCAATGATCTCAGTAGCGAAATCCGAACTTTTATGCTAGCAGGAGCTAGCTGGAACCGGGCTCTTTTGTTTGTTTGTTTGCTTCTTCGTTTTGTTTGGGCTTTTTTTCTTCTTCTAATGGCCAAAGATTTTAGGGAGGTCATGTCTGAATTCCTGATTCTCTTCATCTAGGTAAGGCTGTCTTGGAATCTCTCTGTACTTTCAACTACTAAATTAAAAAAAATAAAAAACCAAAGGAAAAAGAAAAGAAAAAATATAAAAGAAGGTAAGAAAAACCTCAGGAAAGAAACAAGCAGTATCCAGCACTGGAGTGTTCTGCATTCAGGATCTCAGCACTAGAAATAGAGGTAAAAAATTTATAATCTTTAAAAATATACATTTAGTTGTAAACTGTGACAAATCTGTTTTTCAAAATATGCCAGACCTATAAAAAAAATTACTGTGCATTTTTCCTCATCTTTTAAAAATATGCTTGAAATGTTGAACTTTATTTGCGTTCTTATATAAATAGAGCTGTATGGTATTGCTTGCATATTTTTTAATGTACATTAAATAGGAAAGTTCAGTGTGAGTGATTCAGGTTTTTTCACCTCATTTAACAACAGGGAGGGCATTTAGGGCTATGGGTTTTTTTTTTTTCCCTCTCCCACCTTCCCTTCTCTCCACTCCAGAGGTAATGATGATGAGAAGTGTTTTAGGTAGATATATCAGTTATACCTTACTGGGTTAGGTCTCTAGCCTTTTCTCAGTCCTAGATGAAATTTTTAGTAGAAGTGACAATACAGTCTTAAAGGTGTATACTCTAAATCTGAAAATCCAAGGTTTATTTGTTGGCTTTAGCTAAATTAGGCTATTTTTAGTAATGCATTATTAGACATAGAGATTGTTGTGCGTTGTGCTAGCATTTAGAAGAGGTAAAGTAAGATTTAGTAAATGTCAGCTGACTATAATTTTTGGGAGGTTGTATGGATTTACTCTTTTTTTCTTCTTAACCTAGTAAACATGTAACTAATAAAAGTAACAACAATCTGCTGTTAAGGAGTTTAGGGAGAAAATCAGGATAGTATCTTTCACTGATATGTGAATGCATTTATATTTTATGTAAAATTGTGATTTAATTATTAATTTGTTCTGGATATGAGAAGCATTTTTATGTCAATCTATATAGTAGTCTTTGTCTTCCTGAAAACTGTTGCTTATAAGTAATCTGAAAATTTCTTTGTTTCTTTCTTTCTTTTTCTTTCTTTCTTTCTTCCTTTCTTTCTTTCTTTCTTTCTTTCTTTCTTTCTTTCTTTCTTTCTTTCTTTCTTTCTTTCTTTCTTTCTTTCTCTCTTTCTTTCTTTCTTTTCTTTCTTTCTCTCTCTCTTTCTCTCTTTCTTTCTTTCTTTCTTTCTTTCTTTCTTTCTTTCTTTCTTTCTTTCTTTCTTTCTTTCTTTCTTTCTTTCTTTTCTATCTTTCTTTTCTCTCTCTCTTTCTCTCCTTCTTTCCTTCTTTCCTTCTTTCTTTCTATCATTAAGACTCCATGTAGTTCTTGGCCAGATTGGTAACTAAAGAGAAGTCATCTGTTCATGTATTTCAAGAATCTTTTAATTTTGCTTTTACTATTTTTCAAAATTATTGTTGTGAAAGGGGATGACTTTGTGGTGTGAAAGAACATGAAGGATATTCCAGAATGGAGTTAAATATCTCCTCTGCAATACACTGAGAACTGTACACTTTACTGCCATTTGGAGGAAGAAAACTGTTGAGGGTGGTCAGAATTGGCTCTGAGCTGTGAAGGGAATGCATCTGAACTGGACAGAGAACAGCCAATAGGCAGTAAATTGTTCCTGAGTATATTCTGGGGTGAATTTTAATATCACAATCACTTATTTGGTTATGGACAAGTCTTCTCCAGTGAGATGTTCTGGTCTGGGAGAGCTGTGATACGTAAGTGGTGGGACTGAGAAGTTGAGAGGAATTTGACTGAGTCTGTCATCCTTGTGAAATTTGTGCTGGAACACTGATGTCTCAAAGGATTTGGCTTTAGTGGCTTCTACTGCACTGTGTTCCCGTGCTTGCTGCTGCAAGTATAAGTGCACGTATTTAGTATTTGTGAGTACTCCAGTTAAACAGAAGAAAATTTTCCCTACTAAGCGGGTATCTTCTGCAGCACCACCTCTAGGGTTTAAAGCATATAATGACCTCATCTGACCTCACTTGCAGATGAAAATACTTGGCACCTGAGGCAGTTGAACTATAAGGTGGACAACAGAAGAGAAACAAAAAGTATTTTCTCATTAAACTCTGAAGTTTCTTGTAGACCATAAGAAAATATAACACTGATAAATGCCTACACTTTTGATTTAGAAGGTTTAAATGGAAGTCCTGGAGTCAAATCACTATTCAACTTCTGGTTCTCCTTAGTCTAATTTCTCAGTTATGCTTACCTTGTTTTGCTTTTTAAAGGTTCAAGAAAAAGGATTCACAGAAAAGTTACAGTCTAAGAAACCTCTGAAAATTATTTTATAGATATATAGCAATAATGAACATGGAAAATGAACATCCAGAGTTTTTTGACCTTGTTGCGTTCCTTCAGAAATGTTAAAGCTCTTTATTTGAAACAAGAAAATAGCCCAAGTAGTTGGATCAAATGACTCCCTTGAAGGAAGTAATGAATTTAGGTCTACAGCCTTGAGAAAAATTAACACAAATAGTTGCATCCATTTAATAGGAATTATTCAAATAGCTTTCCTTCACATAAATTTATGTGCCTAAAAACTAATTTTCTTTTGAACTTGTACCTGTTGACCTTCATGTCAAATTCCATACTCAGAATACTAGGAAAAAATGGTTGCATATTTAGGCCTAATTCACAAAGACTTCTGTAACACAAATCAATCCCTCCTAAAAGAAAATTAAAGACAATAGCTTGGATGTGCAGTTTTTAAATGGGCAAGACTTATAGTAATTCTTTTAAAATGTTGGGCTTAAAATCAATTTTAAAATTGTTCTTTAGGTGATGGAACAATCTAAGCATTCCTCTTTTGTCTTTTTCATCTCAAAGGTTACTTAACTTTTATTTTTCTTGATTGTCAGAAGTATTAAGTCACATTTTATATAATAGTTTTCTGTTGTTCTTAACATGAATTTTATTGCTGGAATGTATCTTTGTTATAAAGCTTCCCTGAGGACAGTAGTAGCAGAAGAAGGAAAACAATTTACAAATGTTTTCCTCTTTTCTCAAAAAGAAGCTATATTTTAGAGCATTCTCCTTTTTTCTTTTATTCATCTGGTTCCATTTTCTATTATTTGTTTGTCTGGAGAAACAAAATAAAGTATGGGAGGGTTGTTGGTGTTCTGTCTTTTTTACAAAAGAAAGAGCAAAAAGACAAAAACAGAATAATGTAAGGGCCAGAGAAATTGGAATAGCATATCCAGAAGTATCAGATCTTGATTTCCTTCCTATTAGGAGAGAGCCCCTGGAGGTCTCTGATCCAACATGTCATTTAAAGTGGGCTCAGCTAGAGCCAGTTGCGCAGGTCCTTGTCCATTTGGGCTTTAAATATGTCACCCAAAGATGATCACTGTGAATTCTTAGTAAGGACTTTAGGACTGGCTGGGTACATAGGTGCATTTTTAAATATATATGTGTGTATGCATATGTATATATACTTGTCAACATATGCATATGTGTATATATGCATAAGTTATACCTCAAACCAAAATTATCTAAAATTTTACATGCAAATCCTATGTACATCATATGTGAACATTATTTTATTGTAATAACTACTGATATTGAACTTCAATATGTTTTTTGTTATATTTCACCACTGAGTTTTTTTATGCTTTCAGGTATTACTTATTTAAGAACAGCTTGTTGGTAGATAATTTCAAATCCACTATTACCATAGTTGCTTGCTTCCCTTTAATGAGAAAAATCTCTTATGTTGAGATTAGTAATGCCCCAAGTTTTTTCTCTGGTGTATTTTACATCAGTCACATCCCAAATACCAAGTTTGCTTAGGTTATGTGTATTATTAAAACCAATTTCACTCATACTGTGTACTCTTTACTTCTAGCCTTCATTTTCATCTAGGCTCTTCTTTTTCTTACAGTGATTTATAATACTTCCTGATGGTTATCCCAATGTACCCTGTGTCAAAATCTATCAGCTTTAGATGAAATGTCCTTGAATTTTAGAAAATTTTATAATCAAATCTCTTACCTTTGAATTTCTATTGGTTTTCCCGCCCTCCTGCTCACTCTATAAGTTGTAGAGTTTCTGGGTAGATAGGACTTACTGGTGAGATTTTCACAATAGGATTAAACCACTACTAATACTCTTTAATGCTGGAACAAATAAATGTTCCAAGTTGAACATCATGGTACTTGTGGAAAGTTCACCTTATGATAAAAAATTTTGGGATAAGTGGGAGTTGGTGGTGAGTTGGAAATAAACATCATTAGACTGAGAAGTGAGGAAAATCTGGAGTAGAGTGGAGGACTGTTGCAACATGCTGTTCTGCTAAAGGAGCTAAGAGAAGATGGAAGGGGCAAGAGGAACCAGTGGCAAATACTCCAGGCCAAAGCTATTGGGGTTACATTATCAAAGCTGTTTTACTGCACCTTATTAAGGAGCTTTCATAACCTTAATATTGTATTACTAGCATCTTTGCTAAGACTATCACAAAATTTGAACCTTTTTTGACCTCTGCATGAATTTTCTGATAAATGACTCAGACATGTAAAGCGCAAGGAGAACTTACTTTGGATTCAATTTTTCAGTCTGTAACATTTAACTATCCAATTCTTAGCAGTACTGAGAGGTTCA